GAACTGAGGTTGCACACAATGTTTTTTTGGTGTACAGTGTTTATTGTTTTTGCTATAACTCACCAGATGTGACTTTATGCCATAGTTTTTGCTGGCGTGGGACGTTCACCGAGCTTTGTGACCCCGCGTGTTACACCGTACATCTACTGAGAGCGAGAATTAATGTCCTGCACTGGGTCGTCATCTGATCTCTGAGAAGCTGAAGCATTGCTGTGAGATGCACACCATCATTGAGATAACATTGAAGTGAGTCCGAGTCAGTTTGTGTGAATTGCATTTCTACATGTACAGGTCTCATGCAGTCATAAACATGGCCTGTATATGTGACCCTGGAGCACAAAAGCAGTCTTAAGTCGCTGGGGTATATTTGTAGCAATAGCCAACAATACATTGCATTGTAAATTATACATTTTTCTTTTATGCCAAAAATCATTAGGATATTAAGTAAAGATCATGTTCCATGAAGATATTTTGTAAATTTTCTACCATAAATATATCAAAACTTAATTTTTGATTAGTAATATGCATTGCTAAGAACTTCATTTGGACAACTTTAAAGATGATTTTCTCAATATTTAGATTTTTTTGCACCCTCAGATTCCAGATTTTCAAATAGTTGTATCTCGGCCAAATATTGTCCTATCCTAACAAACCATACATCAATGGAGAGCTTATTTATTCATTTTTCAGATGATGTATTAATCTGAAAAACATATATAAAAGGATAACTAAAATGAAGAATTTTTTTATTTTTTTTATTTGCTTTTTATTATTTAAATATTTTTTCATCTAAATTATATATATTTTTTTATTTAATTTAAACAGGGTTTCATGTCTTACTATGCATCTCAATTCATTTAATTTCCATAAAAATATAAATATATAGTTGTAATCTCTCCGTCCCTGTAATAGTGTTTCACAGTTCTGTTTTTAACCCAATAAAGACGTCAAAATGCAGAAGGAACAAGGGTAAATATACCAGTCTAACATTTTCTTTTGCGGTGTACCGGTACGAGGCGATTATGTGTCCTTGTATGTATTTGACATCGTATGGCAGAGGAAAATCCCTGTGCAAATGTCCAGCATCCCTCGATTCCATAGCCAGCGCTGGCGGCTTTTGTTTACAGGTGCGGTCCAGTGTTTGAAATGCGTTCACTCTTGTACTAGAGTAAACACGAGTGTGCTATGTCCTGTTTTTACTGTCGTACCACGTCACTATTCAAACTCTCTGAAGGGAGGTCACAGAGGTACAGAAACCATAGCAAACAGTCATGCTTTACAGCGACAAACCCAGCGAGGAAGTTAAGCATCCTCTTCTCTAACAAGCCGTGTGTACAGACAGACAAGACGCCTAATGATATGGTGCAGATTCAGTTAAGTACACACATCAGCGCAGACGCTTGAAATGACAGACAGTCAACACATTCAGCATTCTCATCCGTATCGAATATCAAGCATGTTACAGTGAATCAACTCGCCACACCTGAATGTGCAGCCAGTTTTTAAACGCTCTCTGGCAGCTCTCTTCACTCCTGTCGGTCTGCGGACGATTCCCAGAAAACATTTCCATGTCACTCAGCGTGGCTAATTGGTGTCAAGCAGCGATCGTGTCCACAGGCGGTCCTGGCGCCTCCATAAGCACCCGACATACAGTGAGTGATGGTGTACGTGCAGATGAGTGTTTGATAACAGATACGATTCACTGAAGTACCAACTCAGACTCAGATTCTTCTCCATAAGGATGGAGTAAGATAGACGTGAATGAGGGTGTCGCTGACAGACAGTAAGACTATAGCGCTATGAAGTGAATGTGGGTAGCAGCTCAGATCATCTCTTCTGGTCTAGTGGAAGAGTTTGATTTCTGTTTGCAGTGTGCATTCGCACAGCACCACAAGGTATTGCAAAAACAGCGACTGTTTCCAAACAGGTATCCACTAATGCAGGTAGTCGCATCCAAACTAAAGAAGTTTTAAGAATATTAGAGAGGTTAGAGAAGTACTTGTGCAAATAAATATAAATGACCATATGACCAATATACATGAAAATATTTATTATTTCAAATTTAACTAAAAATAATTGGTCATATGTGTCCACCAAACACTTTTAGCCAGCTGAAAGCACCAGGCGCTCTGCTGAAATCGCCTGGCTGTGAGCGCTTGAGAGTTCAATTCAATCTAAAAATGAAATAGGCCTATATCTGCAAGTTTTCATAACAATATTGTGGTAGTCCAGGAATTTTATCTAGTGAAGACATGAATACTCTGAGACATGCAATATTAACTTGTCCTTCATTGTTGTTCACTCGTAGTATAAGCAATGATGATTGGTCGGTGTGGAATTTGCCCTGCCCCTCCTCCACTTTGAGGTAAAAAGTGACTGTGGTGAGCGTTTGCGTTTTATCCAAAGATGAACTTTCCTCAGCTCTTGGCACTGAGAAAAAAACGGCTCAGCGCCCAGCGTGAAATAAACACTCAGCGCCTCGTCACGCTGCTGGTGTTTTAAAAACATGGCGCTCCCATTGAAAACAATTGAAAAAATACGCTAGCCTCGGGAAAAAAACGCTTTGGTGGACACATGGCCTAAATTTGGTTACATTACATGTGTCGTCTTCTGTAAGCTGTAAACTAGACATTAGCATTGTAACTGTCGCAAACAACTACACACCTGGAACTGATTATACTTCATAAAAATACTGGAGCATTACCTCATTTTCACCTTGTTTATTTTAGCCAAACTTCAAGCAGAACTGAAATGATGCAATCACTCGTGGGTAAATTTCCCTTTACGTTTTCTGTGAAGTGATGTTCACTTGTATGTCAGTGGCAGTGGCCTTCATAGTGGACATAAACAAGCTACAGGTAGTCCAAAATGCAGCGGCTAGAGTCCTTACCAGGTCAAGAAAATATGATCATATTACCCCAATTTTACAGTCTCTGCACTGGCTACCTATTAAGTTCCGTATCAGTTACAAAATATTATTACTTGCCTATAAGGCCCTTAATGGGTTAGCTCCTGCGTACCTATAGACACTCGTTGCAATTTGATTGGAATTTTAAGGCACAGTTTTCATTGCAGACCAGCTGTATGAAAACACTAATTCTTTCTCTGACAGTAGGTGGCGCTTATGAAACGGCAGAAATACAGGAGTAGAACTGCCCTGCGCAACTTTCCGTTAGTCAAGACTTTTTTTTTTTTTGAGGAACACAAAAGGTGATGTTTAGCAGAATGTTCACTCTGCTCTTGTGTAGAGGGGAAGCATTTCAGTGAATGTTGTATTTTTTAGTCTGTTCCTTACACAAAGTTCTATCATGACAACCCTCTAATGGATATGACAATGCCAATGTATTTGGTCTTGGCGGAATAGATCTGCTACACTGCTGCTGAATTGCTGCTGCTGTTGGTAATTGCTGTATTTGTAAATTATTGCTGCTGCTGCAAGCAAGTACAGGAACTTGATACTGCCAATACATATACAGATACGGTGCTGTGTGAGTGTTTAAGACATACCGCTGCTGCACAAATAGCATATATACCGTATTGGCCTGATTATAAGACGACCCCCCTTTTTCCAGATGTACCTTTTGGAAAAAGGCTTTTTACAGCATGTGACAAGTCGTTTAATGCTAAGAATATCGTCAGTTATGTGAAGCATCCATCAGCCTGCGCCATCTAGAGTTTCATGACAGAACTTGCTATTTATTGTTTGACTTCAGAAGACGTTGAAAACACTGCATGAGTCTTATGGACTACTTTCATAATACTTCTACGGTGATGTTTTTGTAAATCTACTCATTTTGTGGAAAAAAGAAAGTCATGTAGGTTTGGAAAAGTATAAAGATGAGTAACTGATTTTTGGTTGAACTCCCGTAATAAAGCATAGAAAAGTTCTTGTCCTCTGCAGTTTTGCCTGGTCTTGCGTTAGTGTGGGATGAGGTTTGCTGATTGAACGGCTCAGTTCTGGCTGAAGCCATCTCAGCGGTTCTCGCTGGAGGTCTGTTGACCTTCTTTACGAGATCAGTGTTTCGTCAGCAGTGACGTGACGGCAACGCTGACCTCATGCTGCTGGCTACAGAAGGACGTTTTGCTCTCTACTGCCAGATTGGGAGCTCAGGGCTTTATTTTAGGAAATCTTCTAGAAATAGACTCTGGCTTGAGCTGCGAGTTACTCCCCAGATCCCTGAATGACATGCGCTGGAGGCGAGAGACCCTGCTTCTGTCCAGAGTACAGTTCATCTCTCTCAGTCTGAGCTTGCCTGCTGTTTGTTGTCAGTTAGCATGTGTTTCAGTGGTCAGTAGGCATGTGGTGTTAATGGTGGTATTCTGGTTGTGCCATTACAGTGTGTGTGACAGCACAGTTTTTGGGAAGCTGTTGCAGACGCTGATCCTGGTGGGTTACATAACCCTAATAAAGTCTTAGGCCAAAGATATGCTGTAGTTCACAAACACAGTAGAATGTGAGCACACTCCCATTGCACATACATAACATTAAGCTTTATAATCGTTAAGTTTATTCATCCGGGAATATCCACATGTATAGGCGTCCTAGTTACACCTCTGATGGTAAATTTTCCAATGACTTAAATGTCATTTGAAGTTGCATGAGTCATTACAGAAGGTTGCCTTCTCAGATGATTTGTTAATTTTTGATGTGAGATGCCTGTGTCATTTACATTTGAGTTTAAACCCTGTCATTTACTGGCCACTGTCTGGTAACTTTACAAGGTATTCACATTTTCTAAATAATGGGTTTTTATTTTGAATCCTATATGCTGTTTGTGTTCTCAGTTGTTACAATCCAATTGTTTTAGCCCATTATCGCATACTGACATGATGTCAGTCATCAGCCTTCCTGATTTCTCGTTTCCTTATTGGTATCGGTCATAAAAAATATCCACTGTTTGACCGCTGCTCGGTTAAATTCAGTAAATATGTTACAGAGATTCTGTGTTGCCAAATAAAAGAGCTAACACTGTATTTCTCTTTCTTCTTTCCTTTTGAAGCTGGACGAGGTGCACACCAGGATGTCAGATGTGACGCTTCACACAGATTTTCATGGTGAGGATTTTTAATCTGGTTTCTGCAGTTTGTGTTGTTCGATCAGGTTTCGGGGTTTTGCTATGTCTGTGTGAACACAGTGTGCTCCTCCAAACTCAGCCAGAAGAGACCAGCTCTTGCTGATTCCTTGGGGAGCCCTCAAGCCACATTAATGTAATTTTGTCGTGATGGTTGTTCGGATCAGTAAACCGTGGGAGTGTGGTTCTGTTCATGTTTAAGAGCAGAGCTGTAGCTAGTCTCAAATGTTTGTGTGTAGTTTAGGCCTATTGAACAAAATCCACTGCTGCATTTTTCATATGGCTGCCCTTTTTTTCAACCAGAGCACTATTAACCATTTAGCCTGATTCACAGTAGTTTATTAATGAGGTAATAAGACAGTTGTTGTTTTGTGTTTTGCAAGTAGTATTACTCATGGGAGACGATACAGTGTGATTTATGATTGGAAACACATGTAGGCGTGTAAAGTCTGAAGTATACCTGATGAAGTGTTGTAATGCTTCTATAATTACTATGAGACTTAAATACCCCGAAACACAGATGAAAGGAGCTTTATCAAACATCCTACCATTTGCTAGCATAACTATTAGTAGGTCCTGTCACAATAACTAAATATCTGACATCTGATTATTTGGAATTGGTACGTATATTTATACAGTATTAGCATAATGTGATGTATTTCTGAGAGAAGCAAGAAAATCTATGGTGAGAAACATTATAAAAGCATGGGCAAAGCAGCTTATTTCCCATCAATACTCATGCCAACCTCTCACAGATCTCACACAATCCTGTTATATCGCAGCCAATCACACATGCTATAGATGTGAAAGATAAGATGTTTTGAAAATGTGAATGATGAATGTTGTATAGGAAATAATGATTGATTGTATTTCAATTCCACCAGTCATCAATCTCAACCAATCTGTATCATTCATTCTAGCTTAATAGCCCAATATTTGTTTTATTTCCTATTCTGAACAGTTTTATTTTTATGATTGTGCAAGATATTAACCTGCACCCCCCAAAAAAAAGAAAATTCTGTAATCATTGACTCACTCTAGTAACTGATGACAGAATGTTCATTTTTGGGTGAACTGCTTTAAGCTTTAAAAGAAAAAGGATAATTTGAAAGATTATTTTGGTGCTTTGCCGACTGGCTTTGAGAGAGGAGATCAGGAACGACCACGTCTAGTGACCAGACACACCAACTACATGTGTGAATTAAGAAATTGCATCGCTGAAATGGATTCATTTCATGTTTTTACCTCTGCTGAAACATCTTTCTAATCAGCATTTCTGTTGGTTTCTATTCTTAGTCACCAATTATCTTGGATGTACTTGTGCAACCAGGGTGACTAGTTATAAGTAAAATGTGAATGCATTACTATTTTACATAGGAGACGTACAGTATTATTTTGATATAATCTTGTGTGTGTAGCGCGGACGTGTGTGTGTCTCGCAGTTTTCCGCATGACTGTTGGGTGGTCGTCCCGGGCCGGCGAGACTGTAATCCTCCAGCACATGCATCATAGTCCAGTTCTGCTTAACCACCATGCAGTCACACCTGAACTAGCTTCCAGCTATCTACACCAGCGCTCTGACACATGATGAGTGTAGCATTGTAAAGTCAGACTCTCGTTACTCATGCGTGCTTCATTAAGGATGGGGTTTCACATCAGTAACAAGCTTTACACCCAACTCAACTCGACGCTCATCTAACGCTGGTCTGTGTTCACCGTGAATGGACCCCTCACTAATGGTCATATATGTTCTCCAGGAGGCTTCCTGTTGGCCATTGTTTATATGAGGCTGTAGATTAAAGCTAGCAATGATCAGAACTTCAACCATGCAATTAAGATGATGATGATGATGAAGCACTATGTCGCTCTCCGACTCGGTCCGTCCCTTTAATCTAGGACCGCAGATGCTCTCGCCCACCCGCCGGCCTCTGCCACTCAACAATAAATAAAAGATAAGACAGTGCCATCGGGACTGTTTGGAATAATAGCATTCAATTTCGAGAGAAGTGCCTCAACAAATGCATGCTAGAAGAATAGAAAAGCAGGAGATGAAAGGAGATATGAATGGAACTCTGGCTACAGGCATGCTCGCAAAACAAATAGACTTCCCGAGAGCGCCAATCACAGGCTCTCACCCTGATTCCTGACCCACGGAGGACAGGCCAGAGGAACGCAATTTGTTCCTTTGTACGGCAGGATCATAAGAGCGACCGCAACTTACTTTCTTTCACTGTTGCCGAGTGCAATTGAGTTCTGCGAGCAGGTGGTCCAGGCCTGCTGCGACCTTGTCAACTTTTGCTCTTTTGTTCACTGCAAAGGTTGGCTGAGGTTTTGGCAGTCGGCTCTGGCGTGTGGGGCTTTCATGAAGCTGAGGATTAAGAAGGACAGATAGAGGAGGAGGAGGTACAGACAGTCAGCTTGCATTAAAACAACTCCTCATGGCCGATGGCTCCAGTCTCTTGGCCTCTCCACACGTGGCCTTTGTCTGCACCTAGACTTCCACGGGACCGAGTTGTGCTCAAAGCTCAGCTGGTCGGGTATTGTCCCTCCTCAAAGACGGCCATAAGGGCAACCAGAGGAAAAAGTGTCAGCCTCAGCTTTTACACACCCTAGGAAGACTCAGGAGAAGAGAAAGGATGGATTAGCTGTAGCTGACGCTCGGCTTGCCCGCTCGACATATCCAGACCCCCTCAGCTGTTTGAGACATCACTTAAGCCTTGTCAGTGCAAGCATTTTTGCTGGACATGGGGACACCCGATGCGCAAAGTCTCAGAAGAATGTTGCTGCGTTGGTCTTTCTATAGAAATCGCGTTATCCCACGTTGAGCAGAAGTCTTCTTTTGATCGGAGTGGCTTTGTGAAGATGCACCTTTTTAATTACTTGATCATCGGGACACTTCATCGTCCTGTGATAAACCCCATGGCGAAGAGGCCCAAACAGTAAGCAGGGAATTCGCTAACAATCACTTGCACCTGCTGATAGCGTGGTTTGGTCGTACATGCTGTCTGCATTATTTTAATGCTTGACTTACCAAATGTATCTACGAAATCAGATTTAAACACGGTAACACTTTATTTTGATGGTCCACTTTAGACATTCAACTACATATCAGCATATTCTGCTTACCCTAACCATAAACCTATATCAGCATATTCTGCTTACCCTAACCATAAACCTAACAGTCTGGCGCGCTACTAATGAATAGACTTGAAAACGTTAAATATTATTTCCAAGCATTTAAATTTTTTATGAATAAAACAGCTTGTGAATAGTCATGTAATGTTATTTACCTCAGAAAAGACAACAATAAGGAGCGTTGGAGCCCACATTATCCTATAATGTTCGGGGGGGCTGTACAAATGTTTTTGCATATGGGCCCACGGTTATAATGCTCTTCTCCATAATCACTAAAAAATGTACACAAACATTAATTTTAAATAACACTAGACTTAAGACCAGCTTGCCTTTGGCAGTAATAGTGCCACGTTACACATGATGGGCACATATTGCTGATGTCCTGGCTTATTCTATAGAAAGAAATCCTAATGACTTCACAAAGTGCTCGGTTAAATTGGTCTACGAGTGGTTTGTAAATAAAACATAGGGTTTAGTGCTGAAGCACGGTGTGCTTAAGTTGCTAAAAGTTTAGAATTCGCCCCGCAGTGTTTATTCATAAAATCTACTCCATGGTTTTATGATCTGTCCTCAGACATGCAGACAAGACCTGGACAAAGCCTAATAGTGTTTATGAAAGCTAAGTGTTTTGGAGCGCTATGGTCTAAGTGTGGCCAAGGTTTATTTTTCTGACAAGGACTAAGAGTGGCTGACTCCATTCGCAATGATAAACAGGGCAAATTGGAAGCAGACCCTGATGTAGTTACTTGTTGGCCTGGGGGGGGATCTCGTACCGCCAAGACCAGACCTTTGAATCACTTGTTTATGGGTGACATTTGGTCAGATTAAGTCCGTGCTGGGACGAAAGCTAAATCATCTCTTTTGACTGACCCTCGTTGGAAGAAGCAGAGAGTTTGTGTGCGATTTGAAGATGGAAATACAGTAACAATCAGTATGAATGTCGAAAGAAAACTGCTGATCCAGCATTGCTAACAGGACTGTCGAAGACACTCGTGAGGTGCTTCTAGTGCTCGGCCAGCCTCTCAGCACAAGGTTCAGTGGTTGGAAGAGTGTTGGCACTTAATGACTCAAGTTTTATGTAAGCGCTTCTTGAACGGAAAATAGCAGAAGCCCTTCAGGAGGCTTTTAATTAAAGCCATTGCCTCCTTCTCTCTCCCATCTAAGCAAAAGGGGAAAACATGACATCACACATGGTGGAAAAGGGGAGAAAGAGAACGGGCAGATGAACGGAAATGGTCAATAGACGTAACCGAGTGCTGGTGGGGGTCAAGTGAACTATTTAACCTCTGGAAACACAAGGTCAGAACGGGGCTGCCTCACTCTTGACCCTTAAGCCCAAAATGTCAATTAAGACGTCTCCACCAGAAGAAAGAGAAAGGTCCATGAGAGATTTTGGCATTTGCTTTGCCACCATAATACTAGGGTGCTGTATGTGGTTTCCAGGACATTGGTATGCAGTTATTAAGGTGTTTTGAGTGGCTGAGTGTTAGCATGTTGCTATGGTGTTCTGGGTCGTCAAAAGTGCCAAAAAATATTTTGCTCTTCATATGGCTCTGGTCCCTTCAACTTAAGTCAATGGGGATGCTTTTCACTCATTTTATCAAATGGTTCATTCTTAAACGTTAGTGCACTTCTTGTCAACAGGCCATATCTTTGTGTCATTCATGTCTGTAGCACAAACAACTTGGGATGAGTTGTGTGTTGAAGTTTGGGCTAATACTTGGGCTCGAGGTTAACCTTATGTATGACCAGTAATAATGGAGCTTGCCTTAGCAACTGTACATTTTATTTCATGTCTGTAAATTTCCGTAGCTCACTTAGACACTGAATGCATCGCACCGTTGGTTA